AGACAAACAGACAGACAAACAGACAGACAGACAAACAGACAGACAGACAGACAAACAGACAGACAGACGGACAGACAGACAGGCCCACGATGTTCAAATAAACTATATTATGCGAGTTCAATTTCTCCTTCTGTCTCTGTTTATGATTTTATCCGCTAAGACTGTGGTCTTATCCTCAAGCTCGATGTGATATGTCTTAACCCTATCTGTACACTCTGGTGTCATTTTGTACCCCTGAGGTTGTATTCTTCACAGTTTATATACTTCTAGTAAGAAGATCTCTTTGAAACGTTCAGTATTTCTCAAAAATTCATTTTGACAGACTGCTATGCAAAGCGTACGTGGGCAGATCGGATTAACGAGTAAATTAAATTCCTCTTTGGAAAGTGGTGGCACAGAGTACCCAACATCGTATGGGTACGATAGTAAACACGACGTACCGATAGGGTTAATCTTAGGAACAACGAACGCCTTCCTTTCTAGATGTAAATGCGTGTATTTCCCAGTAATATTATTACAAATCTAGTAGGAAACAAGGCAAGCTTCCACACCACCTCACGGCAGAAAGACACAGATCTCATATCTCCTGCAGTGTGCAAGGCAAAGACCACAACACAGACATTTTACGTCACTTGTAACACAATTAGGTCATAATAAGCGCTGAAAGCTACAGAGGTATTGCGAGAGAATAACGAGCTCAAAAGTATGACAAGAAAATGACGTCACAACTTTTAAAAAGTCCACAACAATTGTGTTCCTCCCTTCTTCATAATACATTCTGTCTTCCTCCGGTGTGTCAATCTGAAAAAGCTGCGGAGCTTATCGCTCATTCAGTCACAACAACCAATAACACACACATTGTGTTGTGAATAGATTCAAATGAAATAAACATAAAAAATAGAAGACGCAGACCACACCAAACCGTCCACCAGGTCTAGCTTGACAAACAGAACTAGATATGCTGTAGAAGTGAGGAACACAGAACTGAATCAGACAATGGCCGTCAAAGAGACGCACTGCTTGGAACAACAGATAAGAAAATCAATTTCCATTTATCTGGGACTGTTGCGTTGTCCTGTCAAACAAACAGCTTGAAGTGGAGTACACTTGCTGAAATGAGACCTGAGAAGCCCTAAATCTGGAAGTAATGGCTGCCATCTAGATCTACAGCTCAGACACAGAATTCTACACTTATCAATCCAGCTGGGGAAGGTATAGGCCTACTATAATGCCTACCCATTCCACTCTCCTGCCAATAAAAGCAATCAAGCGTTCCTACCCCTTGAAGTACACTACTCTCGTGTCTGAAGTACCAAGCGAGTGTGGAAAACAATTTGTTATAAGCAGCAACAGGACATAGGCCTGCTGCCACTACGAGACTCTTTGAGAGAGATCTATTGTGCCAGTTGCTTCTGCCTGCAGGTGGTTCTATCTTCATGCAGCATTAACTCCCTCAAACTTGACTGCCCCCCCCCCCCCCCCGAGGCAGTGCTACTGACTGAAGTGTCTTTAGACCATTCCCAAAGGGGGGGGGGGGATATTAACATGATTTTATGCACAGTAGAATTGTAAATGGGTTGATTTATCAATATCATACTCATACTGTGCCGGAACAACATATGGGGAACTGCTACTTTTTTTCCCCCTCATACCTACTATTGTCATTTCCATTTACTTCTTTTGTATGTTTGTCACTCTCTTGTGACCCGCTATTTCCAGGGTGCCTTGATAGTCGAAGCAGACTTTGAGCTGTTGAAGCTAGAGAGGTGAGCAGAGTAAGCCTGATTCCCTCTTTGGATTTCTCTGTTGACATTCACCCTTTGGCGCTCATATGACCTTATGCAGTTGCGAGTGCCATAAAACCTTACTAAAACTACATTAAAACAAAACTTGACTGTTTCATGCTTTGTAGATCTTTACCTGCTATGGCTACATAAGAAGATCATTCTGGGGCCTTAGAATCTTGTCATCTTTTGACAAATTATAATAACAGATATTTTATGTATGAACAACATTTATTCTGTCCGTGTGGGATTTATTTAAGGTGTCAACGTCTTCAGTAACATCAGCACAACAACTGATTGGATTACTGAAACATTCTGAAATTTGACCAGGAGCGTAACCACAAACAAAAAGCAAGACAGCAAACAGACAGTGGACAAAATGTCTCATGAAAAGCAGTCAAAGTTACAACCATTGAAACAATTCCCAGCATGAAAGCCTTTGAGAGACGCGTTGAATTATGTCCAATGAGTCAGTTATACCGACTTTTTCATCATTGCCGACGTAATAACCAAAGTTTTCATCAACATCAGAGAACTCCCAGAGTTGTAGTTCAAGCTGTGACAAGCTATTATGATAAATAATAACTATATTTATATAGCACGTATTTCTGCCCTATAGCATGCTCTCTTAGCTTTACAACTATTGTTACCCCCAGCAGACCCTACCCAGGAACACTCAGAAACATTCTCGGCTTCCTGGGAAGCATACAGTGCAAGCTCAGACACTGATTACATTCGTTCAAGTGGCAGAGGGAAAACTAAAGAGAGTTTGGGAATGTGAAGAGCAGGGCAGCGATTTTGCAGACACAAAAATCGTCTCCAGGAAACAAGTTCGTTGTCACTTCGCCTACATAAAGGAGATGAGAGTGTTGGCGCTCATTGGACTGTTGGTTGAGAGGAGAAAATGACATTACCAACATTTTCAATCCAAACAGAAACCTAACTTACAACACATTATCATTTAAACAAGCCATGGAATTTATGGAAAGCAAGAACGTGCTTTAACTCTCAGACCTGCTCTGATACTCAATTCTCAAATCTGGCACCGAAGGGTTTAAAGCTCTCTGAATTAGACATTTAAGTATCACCAGCGCAACAATTGTTGTCCAGGGTGGGTTAGACTGTCTCACGTTGCAGCAGTCTAGTCATGTCAAACATAGTGTTACCCTGGAGCACATCCTTCCCAATGCTCTTTTGACGTCAGGTAAGAAACTTTTAGTTAAGTTTTAGTAGAGGTTTTACAGCGCTCGCAACTGCATAAGGTCATATGAGCGCCAAGGGGAGAATGTCAACAGAGAAGTCCAAAGGGGGAATCAGACTTACTACTCTGTTCACCTCTCTAGCCTCAACAACACAAAGTCTGCTTTGACTATCAAGGCACCCCGGAAATAGCCGTTCACAAGAGAGTGACAAACATACAAAAGAAGTAGAGAAAAAATGACGATAGTAAAGATTTAGGAAAGAAGAAAAAAACAGCAGTTCCCCCTATGTTGTTCAGCCTATTTACCACTCTACTGTGCATGAAATCAAGCTTACATCCCCCCTTTGGGAAAGGCCTAAGGACACTTCAGTCAGTAGCACTGCCCTGG